CCTGACAGCGTGGATCAGGTGGCCACAGTGTGACTTGGTTGATAGTGGGTCATTGTACCTGACAGCGTGGATCAGGTGGCCACAGTGTGACTTGGTTGATAGTGGGTCATTGTACCTGACAGCGTGGATCAGGTGGCCACAGTGTGACTTGGTTGATAGTGGGTCATTGTACCTGACAGCGTGGATCAGGTGGCCAGTGTGACTTGGTTGATAGTGGGTCATTGTACCTGACAGTGTGGATCAGGTGGCCAGTGTGTGACTTGGTTGATAGTGGGTCATTGTACCTGACAGCGTGGATCAGGTGGCCACAGTGTGACTTGGTTGATAGTGGGTCATTGTACCTGACAGTGTGGATCGGGTTGCCAGTGTGTGACTTGGTTGATAGTGGGTCATTGTACCTGACAGCGTGGATCGGGTTGCCAGTGTGTGACTTGGTTGATAGTGGGTCAGTGGATCGGTCGGCCACAGTGTGACTTGGTTGATAGTGGGTCAGTGGATCGGTCGGCCACAGTGTGACTTGGTTGATAGTGGGTCATTGTACCTGACAGCGTGGATCGGGTTGCCAGTGTGTGACTTGGTTGATAGTGGGTCATTGTACCTGACAGCGTGGATCGGGTTGCCAGTGTGTGACTTGGTTGATAGTGGGTCATTGTACCTGACAGCGTGGATCAGGTGGCCACAGTGTGACTTTGTTGATAGTGGGTCAGTGGATCGGTCGGCCACATTGTGACTTGGTTGATAGTGGGTCAGTGGATCGGTCGGCCACAGTGTGACTTGGTTGATAGTGGGTCATTGTACCTGACAGCGTGGATCAGGTGGCCAGTGTGACTTGGATGATAGTGGGTCATTGTACCTGACAGCGTGGATCAGGTGGCCACAGTGTGACTTGGTTGATAGTGGGTCATTGTACCTGACAGCGTGGATCAGGTGGCCAGTGTGTGACTTGGTTGATAGTGGGTCATTGTACCTGACAGCGTGGATCAGGTGGCCAGTGTGTGACTTGGTTGATAGTGGGTCAGTGGATCGGTCGGCCACAGTGTGACTTGGTTGATAGTGGGTCATTGTACCTGACAGCGTGGATCAGGTGGCCACAGTGTGACTTGGTTGATAGTGGGTCAGTGGATCGGTCGGCCACAGTGTGACTTGGATGATAGTGGGTCATTGTACCTGACAGCGTGGATCAGGTGGCCACAGTGTGACTTGGTTGATAGTGGGTCATTGTACCTGACAGCGTGGATCGGGTTGCCAGTGTGTGACTTGGTTGATAGTGGGTCATTGTACCTGACAGCATGGATCGGGTGGCCACAGTGTGACTTGGTTGATAGTGGGTCAGTGGATCAGGTGGCCACAGTGTGACTTGGTTGATAGTGGGTCATTGTACCTGACAGCGTGGATCGGGTTGCCAGTGTGTGACTTGGTTGATAGTGGGTCATTGTACCTGACAGTGTGGATTGAGTGGCCACAGTGTGACTTGGTTGATAGTGGGTCATTGTACCTGACAGCGTGGATCAGGTGGCCACAGTGTGACTTGGTTGATAGTGGGTCATTGTACCTGACAGTGTGGATTGAGTGGCCACAGTGTGACTTGGTTGATAGTGGGTCATTGTACCTGACAGTGTGGATTGAGTGGCCACAGTGTGACTTGGTTGATAGTGGGTCATTGTACCTGACAGCGTGGATCAGGTGGCCACAGTGTGACTTGGATGATAGTGGGTCATTGTACCTGACAGCGTGGATCGGGTTGCCAGTGTGTGACTTGGTTGATAGTGGGTCATTGTACCTGACAGCGTGGATCAGGTGGCCACCGTGTGACTTGGTTGATAGTGGGTCAGTGGATCGGTCGGCCACAGTGTGACTTGGTTGATAGTGGGTCATTGTACCTGACAGCGTGGATCGGGTTGCCAGTGTGTGACTTGGTTGATAGTGGGTCAGTGGATCGGTCGGCCACAGTGTGACTTGGTTGATAGTGGGTCATTGTACCTGACAGTGTGGATTGAGTGGCCACAGTGTGACTTGGTTGATAGTGGGTCATTGTACCTGACAGCGTGGATCAGGTGGCCACCGTGTGACTTGGTTGATAGTGGGTCATTGTACCTGACAGTGTGGATTGAGTGGCCACAGTGTGACTTGGTTGATAGTGGGTCATTGTACCTGACAGTGTGGATCAGGTGGCCAGTGTGTGACTTGGTTGATAGTGGGTCATTGTACCTGACAGCGTGGATCAGGTGGCCACAGTGTGACTTGGTTGATAGTGGGTCATTGTACCTGACAGTGTGGATCAGGTGGCCAGTGTGTGACTTGGTTGATAGTGGGTCATTGTACCTGACAGCGTGGATCAGGTGGCCACAGTGTGACTTGGTTGATAGTGGGTCAGTGGATCGGTCGGCCACAGTGTGACTTGGTTGATAGTGGGTCATTGTACCTGACAGTGTGGATCAGGTGGCCAGTGTGTGACTTGGTTGATAGTGGGTCATTGTACCTGACAGTGTGGATCAGGTTGCCAGTGTGTGACTTGGTTGATAGTGGGTCATTGTACCTGACAGCGTGGATCAGGTGGCCACAGTGTGACTTGGTTGATAGTGGGTCAGTGGATCGGTCGGCCACAGTGTGACTTGGTTGATAGTGGGTCATTGTACCTGACAGTGTGGATCAGGTGGCCAGTGTGTGACTTGGTTGATAGTGGGTCATTGTACCTGACAGCGTGGATCAGGTGGCCACAGTGTGACTTGGTTGATAGTGGGTCATTGTACCTGACAGCGTGGATCGGGTTGCCAGTGTGTGACTTGGTTGATAGTGGGTCATTGTACCTGACAGCGTGGATCAGGTGGCCACAGTGTGACTTGGTTGATAGTGGGTCATTGTACCTGACAGCGTGGATCGGGTTGCCAGTGTGTGACTTGGTTGATAGTGGGTCAGTGGATCGGTCGGCCACAGTGTGACTTGGTTGATAGTGGGTCATTGTACCTGACAGTGTGGATCAGGTGGCCACAGTGTGACTTGGTTGATAGGGGGTCAGTGGATCGGTCGGCCACAGTGTGACTTGGTTGATAGTGGGTCAGTGGATCGGTCGGCCACAGTGTGACTTGGTTGATAGTGGGTCATTGTACCTGACAGCGTGGATCGGGTTGCCAGTGTGTGACTTGGTTGATAGTGGGTCAGTGGATCGGTCGGCCACAGTGTGACTTGGTTGATAGTGGGTCATTGTACCTGACAGTGTGGATCAGGTGGCCACAGTGTGACTTGGTTGATAGGGGGTCAGTGGATCGGTCGGCCACAGTGTGACTTGGTTGATAGTGGGTCATTGTACCTGACAGCATGGATCAGGTGGCCACAGTGTGACTTGGTTGATAGGGGGTCAGTGGATCGGTCGGCCACAGTGTGACTTGGTTGATAGTGGGTCATTGTACCTGACAGTGTGGATCAGGTGGCCACAGTGTGACTTGGTTGATAGTGGGTCATTGTACCTGACAGCGTGGATCAGGTGGCCACAGTGTGACTTGGTTGATAGTGGGTCATTGTACCTGACAGCGTGGATCAGGTGGCCACAGTGTGACTTGGTTGATAGTGGGTCATTGTACCTGACAGCGTGGATCAGGTGGCCACAGTGTGACTTGGTTGATAGTGGGTCATTGTACCTGACAGCGTGGATCGGGTTGCCAGTGTGTGACTTGGTTGATAGTGGGTCATTGTACCTGACAGCGTGGATCAGGTGGCCACAGTGTGACTTGGTTGATAGTGGGTCATTGTACCTGACAGCATGGATCAGGTGGCCACAGTGTGACTTGGTTGATAGTGGGTCATTGTACCTGACAGTGTGGATTGAGTGGCCACAGTGTGACTTGGTTGATAGTGGGTCATTGTACCTGACAGCGTGGATCAGGTGGCCACAGTGTGACTTGGTTGATAGTGGGTCATTGTACCTGACAGCGTGGATCGGGTTGCCAGTGTGTGACTTGGTTGATAGTGGGTCATTGTACCTGACAGCGTGGATCAGGTGGCCACAGTGTGACTTGGTTGATAGTGGGTCATTGTACCTGACAGCGTGGATCGGGTTGCCAGTGTGTGACTTGGTTGATAGTGGGTCAGTGGATCGGTCGGCCACAGTGTGACTTGGTTGATAGTGGGTCATTGTACCTGACAGTGTGGATCAGGTGGCCACAGTGTGACTTGGTTGATAGGGGGTCAGTGGATCGGTCGGCCACAGTGTGACTTGGTTGATAGTGGGTCAGTGGATCGGTCGGCCACAGTGTGACTTGGTTGATAGTGGGTCATTGTACCTGACAGCGTGGATCGGGTTGCCAGTGTGTGACTTGGTTGATAGTGGGTCAGTGGATCGGTCGGCCACAGTGTGACTTGGTTGATAGTGGGTCATTGTACCTGACAGTGTGGATCAGGTGGCCACAGTGTGACTTGGTTGATAGGGGGTCAGTGGATCGGTCGGCCACAGTGTGACTTGGTTGATAGTGGGTCATTGTACCTGACAGCATGGATCAGGTGGCCACAGTGTGACTTGGTTGATAGGGGGTCAGTGGATCGGTCGGCCACAGTGTGACTTGGTTGATAGTGGGTCAGTGGATCGGTCGGCCACAGTGTGACTTGGTTGATAGTGGGTCATTGTACCTGACAGCGTGGATCAGGTGGCCACAGTGTGACTTGGTTGATAGTGGGTCATTGTACCTGACAGTGTGGATTGAGTGGCCACCATTCCCTTGTCCGGAGTGGATCGGGTGATGTTGTTTGTTTGTTGTTTAACGATGCACTCAGCAATATTCCAGCTTTATGACGGCGGTCTGTAAATAATCAAGTCTGGACCAGACAATCCAGTGATTGACATCATGAGGATCGATCCACGCAATTGGGACTGATGACATGCATCAACAAAGTCGGCGAGCCTGACCACCCGATCCTGTTGGTCGCGTTTTATGGCAAGCATGGGTTGCTGAAGACCTTTTCTAACCCGGATCTTCACGGGTCGCTGGTGATTTAGGACACAAGAAGACTGGCTACTGACATTTTAATGCTCTACTGACAAAGTGAAGAAAAGTGATTGTTAGACACACCCTGATGATTTAGACACACCCTGATGATTTAGACACAGCTGTCACGGAATTCAGGCAACATGGAGTAACCCATCACACAACTCTCACTCACTCACTCACACACTGGGGGCAGACACGCCCAGGCTGGTAGACTCTGGAAGAATTGTTGTAGCCGGCTAGTAATGGGATCTGTGATATGTGACTGACAGGCTAGTAATGGGATCTGTGATATGTGACTGACAGGCTTGTACTGGGATGGTAGAGGCACAGTTCCACATTGCTTGTTCCTCCACGAGTAGCCTGTCATCCTGTCTCTGAATCACTGTCAGAAATACTGCGGCTGATCACTTTTAGCCTACTTAGATATTCCGCTTTATTATAACTCCTTGTAGATACTCAAATTGTGTGCATTATTTCAACTGAATCAAGACGCAATTTTTCTCTTATTTTTCAGTGTTTATGATGTCTGAACGTGGGCAGGCAACACTCATGGGTCAAATGCCCGACTGTCTTTGTTCCATCATAAAATTATTTCAAACACTGCTCGGAAAGAAGAACCCTGTACCTGAAATCATTCCAACATACTTGAGTTGCCTCCCCTTGTTGGATCAGTTGTGGTATGAACATTATTCCCTACTGGTTCTGGTGATATGGAACATTATTCCCGACTGGTTCTGGTGATATGGAACATTATTCCCTACTGGTTCTGGTAATGTCTGAGTCAAGTATGAAGTGGGTTCCACAAATGGGTCCATGGTATTTAGAACGACCCTGACTATATGCAGTGGATGAACCCAGTTGGTAGACACATGATACAAGCCTGACTGCCCCCACACATCCACTGTCACACACAATAAATATCATGTGTATCTACAGGCTAGCACAACTGAAACAACAAACAGGTGAAATCTATTTTAAGCCAATAACCGGAAAGCAGACCTCCAGTACGGAGAATACAGGTACCCAGTACTGGAAGCCGACCTGCATGACTGGCAAAGGTTGAGCAAGTTTGTGCCGCCATCACAATGAACTCTGCACACAGGCAACAGTTATTACCAGCAGGACAAATTGACTGCATGTCAGAAGTGTTCCACAGAGAGTCATTGTTCCACGACTAACCACAAAAAGAAACTGCACCTACCAAAAATGTAAAATAAGGGTCATATAGGAGTATGTAAAGCGTCCAACTGGTTTCGTAGGGTTTCACATCGCTCAGGGAGGGTTTCGTGGGGTTACACATCGCTGGGGGAGGGTTTCGTGGGGTTAGGCATCGCTGGGGGAGGGTTTCGTGGGGTTACACATCGCTCGGGGAGGGTTTCGTGGGGTTTCACATCGCTTGGGGAGGGTTTCGTGGGGTTACACGTCGCTCGGGGAGGGTTTCGTAGGGTTTCACGTTGCTCTGGGAGGGTTTCGTGGGGTTACACATTGCTAGGGGAGGGTTTTGTGGGGTTACACGTAACCAGGTTAAGCCTGTGTTTTATGGACTCTGCTAGGACAACCAATCAATATGTCCTGATCTTCAGAGGAATATTCAATGTGTCATCACACATGAAAATACTGAACAAAGTGAAGGAAACAAAGCATCATTAAATAACAGGTCATTAACAAACAAACAAAGGACAATGTCATGAAACAAAGGCAATAAATACCCACTCACGTCTCCCGTAACAAAAGTACTTTCTAACTAACGTATTTTCATGTAAATTAATACAAAGGTCCCTCCAGTGAGAATAAGACCAAGAAGTAGGATGCAGTAACAGGGAGGTCGACCTGCAGACAGAGCATGGTGAGTCTGTACAAAGAACAGACTGGTGAGTTACCAGGGCTCACCATCAGCCTGGGCTCCGGACTGATCGATGACTGGTAGTTACCAGGGCTCCCCATCAGCGTGGGCTCCGGACTGATCGATGACTGGTGAGTTACCAGGGCTCACCATCAGCCTGGGCTCCGGACTGATCGATGACTGGTGAGTTACCAGGGCTCCCCATCAGCGTGGGCTCCGGACAGATCGATGACTGGTGAGTTACCAGGGCTCCCCATCAGCGTGGGCTCCGGACAGATCGATGACTGGTAGTTACCAGGGCTCCCCATCAGCGTGGGCTCCGGACAGATCGATGAATGGTGAGTTACCAGGGCTCCCCATCAGCGTGGGCTCCGGACAGATCAATGGTTTTCTAGTTTGTGAGACTACATGGGGAATGTTAGTGTGTAACTCAAGTATAAAATAGTTATAATATAAATTCTAAGAAAATAATATTTCAAGTTAGAAACAATTAACACCATTACAGAAACCACAAATACAATACAAAGAAACATCGTTGCACCAATGTGGATGCACACCTTTAACTTGTGAGTGGCTTTAATGCCGCTTTTAACAGTATTACAGTTGTATCGCGGCATGTCAGCTCAATGTGGGAGGAAAGCCCGAAGTGATGCAGGTCTCAGACGCTTACCACTTCGGCGAAACCCACGTGCTGAGCATGGGTATGGTGCTGACAAACCTAGAAATATAATCGGGACGAACTGGGATTCGAACCCAGAATCATAGGTTTCTGGCGTGTTCAGTGAATTGAGGCGCCTTTGATGACTGTGCCACCCGTGCCCCCCCTCAACTTGTGGGAACTGGACTAGGTAGTCAATGCTCCTACTGACCACTGATTTGACAGGTCAGGACCAGTGACCACTGATTTGACAGGTCGGGACCAGTGACCACTGATTTGACAGGTCGGGACCAGTGACCACTGATTTGACAGGTCGGGACCAGTGACCACTAATTTGACAGGTCAGGGACCAGTGACCACTGACCACTGATTTGACAGGTCGGGACCACTGACCACTGATTTGACAGGTCAGGGACCAGTGACCACTGATTTGACAGGTCAGGGACCAGTGACCACTGATTTGACAGGTCAGGGACCAGTGACCACTGACCACTGATTTGACAGGTCGGGACCACTGACCACTGATTTGACAGGTCGGGACCACTGACCACTGATTTGACAGGTCGGGACCAGTGACCACTGATTTGACAGGTCAGGGACCAGTGACCACTGATTTGACAGGTCGGGACCAGTGACCACTGATTTGACAGGTCGGGACCAGTGACCACTGATTTGACAGGTCAGGGACCAGTGACCACTGATTTGACAGGTCAGGGACCAGTGACCACTGATTTGACAGGTCAGGGACCAGTGACCACTGACCACTGATTTGACAGGTCAGGACCAGTGACCACCGATTTGACAGGTCAGGGACCAGTGACCACTGACCACTGATTTGACAGGTCAGGACCAGTGACCACTAATTTGACAGGTCGGGACCAGTGACCACTGATTTGACAGGTCAGGGACCAGTGACCACTGACCACTGATTTGACAGGTCAGGACCAGTGACCACTAATTTGACAGGTCGGGACCAGTGACCACTGATTTGACAGGTCAGGGACCAGTGACCACTGACCACTGATTTGACAGGTCAGGACCAGTGACCACTAATTTGACAGGTCAGGACCAGTGACCACCGATTTGACAGGTCAGGGACCAGTGACCACTGACCACTGATTTGACAGGTCAGGACCAGTGACCACCGATTTGACAGGTCAGGGACCAGTGACCACTGACCACTGATTTGACAGGTCAGGACCAGTGACCACTGACCACTGATTTGACAGGTCGGGACCACTGACCACTGATTTGCCAGGTCAGGGACCAGTGACCACTGATTTGACAGGTCGGGACCAGTGACCACTAATTTGACAGGTCAAGGACGAGTGACCACCGTTTTGACCGGTAGTGTTTTCTTAACATGAAGTGATATTGCTGGACTTGCCAAGTAGCACGACACTGCTGTCCAGGATCTCACTCTTCGTTGTCTACACCACAATACATTCCTGGGTAGTGATTTCATTGGCCAATGCAGAAACAACAAGATGAGTCAACAAAAATTAGAAAATCAGAAAAAAAAATATTCTGAATTACCAGTCAACACAAATTGACATGAAAATCTTGCAATAAAACATGATGTAAGGGGATAAGTAAGAGTGGTCTCCCCTTCATGACGAAAAATCTATAGGAACCTGAGTTGTCTCCACTTGGTTGAGGGAAAATCTGTTTTGAATCTAGTGTCGTTTTGATGGAGGTTAAAATAAAGCAATCTCATTTGCCTTCCCTTGTTGGGGGCATTTGCGCAGCAAAGTTGTCTCCCTTAGCTGTATCTGTGACGACTGACGGGGATAACACAGCGAACAACTTCACTACACAAAGGGGAGATAATACCCTTGATATGGACACCAAACAAATATCACTAGCCCCTGACATATATAATTCATTAAGCCGAACAAATCAACAATGGTAAACTTTTAAGTATGTAACAAGTATTAGGATATATATATATATATATATCTCATGGCACAGTATTGGTTATAAGACATGGCACTAGTGTGATGGCAATCATGTATTTACATCCTCCCTCGGTCTGCTGCATGCATAGCAGAGATAGAAGAACAACCATCGTCTCTTTCAGTTGAAGGATTCTGGCCTGGCAAGAGTAAGCCCAATAACATACCTACCCGGTAGATATACACGACTATACATGTGTGATATCTGTACACCAGCCGTGTGATATGACACTTTTCAAGAAAATTGGAACCTTAATGTGAACAGCTTGAGGTATTGACCTCTGTGTGAGCTGTAGTAAGGCAAGTTACTGCAAGTCTATTGTGCATACAACACTTGTAACAGAACGACTGACGAGACCAGACTCTGCAATATTTTGTGGTACCTTCTCCCGGAATAAACAAAAAATAATCTAATCTGGCCATTTGTGTCAATGAGGAATGAAAAAACTTCCAAACTCCACCTGTATGACCCGTCTTCTTCCACAGAAACACTATTTACATATTTCCCAGAAAATACAACCACAATCGACGGATAACTGTATGGCAAAATGAGGCGGACGTCCCAGGAAAACTGGTACCCCAACATATCACTTATATACACGGTCATGTAGACCTCCCATCTCAGCTTCCTAAGATCTAAGCTCTCCTGTAGGTTTGCCATCTCAGCTGTCGTCCAGGCAAGATGAGCTTGAGCATCGATCACTGAAAGGCAGATTGGGGTTCTATGTGCTGTCATCTCCAGTGTAACAATTAGTCCTCACTGCCCCAGCGTAAACACACAGGGATGATCCCTGCAACCAGCAGAGTGTTCCAAGCAGTTGCTGGGCCTCACAACACATCGCTACCTATCAGGGTCAGGGTCAGGGTCAGGGTCAGGATGAGGATGAGGATCAGGGTCAGGGTTATAGCGACCCTGCTACCGATTCATTTCTTCTAGACTGCCCTGTCACTGGGCTTTGCCCAGCCCTACACAACCCACCCAGCCCACCCCTAGGTGCCCCTCACTACACGTCACTAACCCTGATTCACAGGTGCCCCCCTCTACACGTCACTAACCCTGATTCACAGGTGCCCCCCTCTACACGTCACTAACCCTGATTCACAGGTGCCCCTCACTACACGTCACTAACCCTGATTCACAGGTGCCCCTCCTCTGCCCCCAGCACAAAGACAGATCCAAAACCACCAGAAGTCGTTCAATATCCTGCCCAGCACAAAGGCAGATCAAAAGCCTCCAGAAGTCGTTCAATATCCTGCCCAGCACAAAGGCAGATCCAAAACCACCAGAAGTCGTTCAATATCCTGCCCAGCACAAGGGCAGATCAAAAACCTCCAGAAGAAAAGATTCAATATCTTTCTTCTCATCACAACGGCAGATCAAATATCTCCAGAAGAAGTGGTTCGATATCCTCCACTTTCATTTTAAGCAACATTTTGGTGTGAACTTCATTGATGTTGCGAAGGTCGGTGAGCTTCATAACAACGCGTGCAAACAGCGTCTTCTCGTCTGGGAACCTGATGAGGATGTATTGTTGCAGGATGTGAGCGTACTGTTCCTGAAAGCCGTGCACCTGATCCTGGTTGACGAGGGAGCCGCGGTCGGCCGAGAACAGGGACATGATGATGAGGACCTTCAACACGAGGAGGTCGCCGTGGATCGTGCTCATCAGAGACTTGATGAACTTGGAATACGTGAAGAAGAGGCTGGCGGACTCCGAGCTGCCCATCTTCAGGACCTCAGCGCTGATGCGGTCGCCGATGTTGTCGCTGGTGCTGCCCTGGATGAGGCAGTTCATGGTGCTCAGACTCCAGGATTCTGTGAAGGGATCATAATTGACTGCGGACCGCAACATCATGATATCAACAACCGACCCCTTCAACAACGCAATCTGGTCGTCTTTGCACAGTTCCTTAAAGAAAGCAATATTTTTTGCAACCTTGATTACACGGCGAACAAACCCTTCTGCTACGTTCACAAACTCTGTGGGATTTGATGGAATGAGTTTGAGACTGGTGCTGGTGCCAGACAGAAACTGGCTACTCTCGTGAGCCTTCATCAGCTCCTGCAGCAGACTCCTGTCAGCCTCCTTCATCTGCTTGATGGCGCCATCGACCACCTCGGTACACTCCGCCCATGGGGGATACTTGATGACGTGCTCGTCCTGACTGCTGCCGTGAGAACAAGCACCCGGGCTATCCTCCACCTTGAGTTTCCGGTATTTCTCAAAGTCCTTGGATGACTCTGGCCAGCAGTCGGCTCGGGTCACCACGCCCCGGGGCGACCCTGTCAGGTCACTCTCCGATGCCGAGTATGTGTCTTCTGGCGCCATTTGACCCTGGCGACGCAGTTTGTTCATGATGATCTTGGTCTTCCTCATCTTCTTTTGTTCGTCACCTGCAACACGACCAGAAGCACTGTGTCAGTTCTCACAGATCAGGGGCGGTTGGGTAGCCTAGTGGTTAAAAGCGTTCCCTCGTCACGCTGAAGACCTGGGTTCGATTCCCGAACATGGGTACAATGTGTGAAGCCCATTTCTGGTGTTTCCCGCTCTGATATTGCTGGAATATTGCTAAAGGCGGCGTAAAACCATACTAACTCTCACAGATCACCACTTGAAGCGTAGACACCCGACTAATGAGAAGCAATACTCGTAAACGCAACAGACTAAAACTTCACGTTGGTCAAATGACACTGATCATATATAAACTATATAAACTAGAAAGGTATTATATGAATGTGGTTCACAGACACAGCACAGCCCAGGCAGGGGAGGTAACTCACTGAGGATCATGTCCTTCCTCATGCCCACAGTGTAGCACTTGGCCAGCCGGCAGCGTTTGCAGAACGACCGCGACTCAATGTTCACATCACACTTGCCTTCACACCGGCCCCGGATTGTCTGCAACATCAACAACATAATGTGTCACTCTCTGCAACATCAACAACATCATGTGTCACTCTCTGCAACATCAACAACATCATGTGTCGGTCTCTGCAACATCAACAACATCATGTGTCGGTCTCTGCAACATCAACATCATGTGTCACTCTCTACAACATCATGTGTCACTCTCTGCAACATCAACAACATCATGTGTCACTCTCTGCAACATCAACAACATCATGTGTCGGTCTCTGCAACATCAACAACATCATGTGTCACTCTGCAACATCAACATCATGTGTCACTCTCTGCAACATCAACAACATCATGTGTCGGTCTCTGCAACATCAACATCATGTGTCACTCTCTACAACATCATGTGTCACTCTCTGCAACATCAACAACATCATGTGTCACTCTCTGCAACATCAACATCATGTGTCACTCTCTGCAACATCTTGTGTCACTCTGCAACATCAACAACATCATGTGTCACTCTCTGCAACATCAACAACATCATGTGTCGGTCTCTGCAACATCAACATCATGTATCACTCTCTGCAACATCAACATGTGTGTTAAGTCACTCTGTCACCTGTGTTCATGTGTGTTAAGTCACTCTCTCACCCTGTGTTTATGTGTGTTAAGTCACTCTCTCACCTGTGTTCATGTGTGTCAAGTCACTCTCTCACCTGTGTTCATGTTTGTTAAGTCACTCTCTCACCTGTGTTCATGTGTGTCAAGTCACTCTCTCACCTGTGTTCATGTGTGTTAAGTCACTCTCTCACCTGTGTTCATGTTTGTTAAGTCACTCTCTCACCTGTGTTCATGTGTGTCAAGTCACTCTCTCACCTGTGTTCATGTGTGTTAAGTCACTCTCTCACCTTGTGTGCATGTGTGTTAAGTCGCTCTCTCACCTGTGTTCATGTGTGTTAAGTCACTCTCTCACCTGTGTTCATGTGTGTTAAGTCACTCTCTCACCTGTGTTCATGTGTGTTAAGTCACTCTCTCACCTGTGTTCATGTGTGTTAAGTCACTCTCTCACCTGTGTTCATGTTTGTTAAGTCACTCTCCCACCTGTGTTCATGTGTGTTAAGTCACTCTCTCACCTGTGTTCATGTGTTAAGTCACTCTGTCACCTGTGTTCATGTGTGTTCAGTCACTCTCTCACCTGTGTGCATGTGTGTTAAGTCACTCTCTCACCTGTGTGCATGTGTGTTAAGTCACTCTCTCACCTGTGTTCATGTGTGTTAAGTCACTCTCTCACCTGTGTTCATGTGTTAAGTCACTCTCTCACCTGTGTTCATGTGTGTTAAGTCACTCTCTCACCTGTGTTCATGTGTGTTAAGTCACTCTCTCACCTGTGTTAATGTGTGTCAAGTCATTCTCTCACCTGTGTTCATGTGTGTCAAGTCACTCTCTCACCTGTGTTCATGTGTGTCAAGTCATTCTCTCACCTGTGTTCATGTGTGTTAAGTCACTCTCTCACCTGTGTTCATGTGTGTTAAGTCACTCTCTCACCTGTGTTCATGTGTGTTAAGTCACTCTCTCACCTGTGTTCATGTGTGTTAAGTCACTCTCTCACCTGTGTTCATGTGTTAAGTCACTCTCTCACCTGTGTGCATGTGTGTTAAGTCACTCTCTCACCTGTGTTCATGTGTGTCAAGTCATTCTCTCACCTGTGTTCATGTGTGTCAAGTCACTCTCTCACCTGTGTTCATGTGTGTTAAGTCACTCTCTCACCTGTGTGCATGTGTGTTAAGTCACTCTCTCACCTGTGTTCATGTGTGTTAAGTCACTCTCTCACCTGTGTGCATGTGTGTTAAGTCACTCTCTCACCTGTGTTCATGTGTGATAAGTCACTCTCTCACCTGTGTGCATGTGTGTTAAGTCACTCTCTCACCTGTGTGCATGTGTGTTAAGTCACTCTCTCACCTGTGTTCATGTGTGTTAAGTCACTCTCTCACCTGTGTTCATGTGTGTTAGGTCCCTCTCTCACCTGTGTTCATGTGTGTTAAGTCACTCTCTCCTCTTGTGTGCATGTGTGTTAAGTCACTCTCTCCTCTTATGTGCATGTGTGTTAAGTCACTCTCTCACCTGTGCTCATGTGTGTTAAGTCACTCTCTCACCTGTGTTCATGTGTGTTAGGTCCCTCTCTCACCTGTGTTCATGTGTGTTAAGTCACTCTCTCCTCTTGTGTGCATGTGTGTTAAGTCCCTCTCTCACCTGTGTTCATGTGTGTTAAGTCACTCTCTCCTCTTGTGTGCATGTGTGTTAAGTCACTCTCTCACCTGTGTTCATGTGTGTCAAGTCACTCTCTCACCTTGTGTGCATGTGTGTTAAGTCACTCTCTCACCTGTGTTCATGTGTGTTAAGTCACTCTCTCACCTTGTGTGCATGTGTGTTCAGTCACTCTCTCACCTGTGTTCATGTGTGTTAAATCACTCTCTCACCTGTGTTCATGTGTGTTAAGTCACTCTCTCACCTGTGTGCATGTGTGTTAAATCACTCTCTCACCTGTGTTCATGTGTGTTCAGTCACTCTCTCACCTTGTGTGCATTCCTTCTGAAGAAAGCCTTACAAGACTCGCAGGAGATGGCGTTGAAGTTGTAGCCAAGGGCGCGGTCTCCGCACACCAAGCAGGTCTTGTCCTTCTTACTGCCGGACATGGAAGACACCGTGGGGTCGCCACACATCGAGGCGTCCGACAGCTGCCCACAGTCCTACAACAGACAGAATCATCAGATCATCTGACACAGGACACACATCGAGGCGTCCGACAGCTGCCCACAGTCCTACAACAGACAGAATCAGCAGATCGTCTGACACAGGACACACATCGAGCTGTCTGTTTGTTTGTTAGTTTGTTCAACACCGCACTCAGTAATATTCTAGCTATATCATGGGGGTCTGTAAATAATAACCTATATAAATAACCTATTCTCACTCAGATCTGCACGGGCCTTATGGTGTCCAACACACATCACTGTCTTACAGTGTGGTATAGCTGTGTTACAGTGTGGTATAGCTGTGTTACAGTGTGGTAGAGCTGTGTTACAGTGTGGTATAACTGTGTTACAGTGTGGTATAACTGTGTTACAGTGTGGTATAGCTGTGTTACAGTGTGGTAGAGCTGTGTTACAGTGTGGTATAACTGTGTTTCAGTGTGGTATAGCTGTGTTACAGTGTGGTATAACTGTGTTACAGTGTGGTATAGCTGTGTTACAGTGTGGTAGAGCTGTGTTACAGTGTGGTATAACTGTTACAGTGTGGTATAGCTATGTTACAGTGTGGTAGAGCTGTGTTACAGTGTGGTATAACTGTCACAGTGTGGTATAGCTGTGTTACAGTGTGGTATAACTGTTACAGTGTTGTATAGCTGTGTTACAGTGTTGTATAACTGTGTTACAGTGTGGTATAGCTGTGTTACAGTGTGGTATAACTGTTACAGTGTTGTATAGCTGTGTTACAGTGTTGTATAACTGTGTTACAGTGTGGTATAGCTGTGTTACAGTCTTGTATAACTGTGTTACAGTGTGGTATAACTGTGTTACAGTGTGGTATAACTGTGTTACAGTGTGGTATAACTGTGTTAGTGTGGTATAATTGTGTTACAGTGTGGTAAAGGTGTGTTACAGTGTGGTATAACTGTGTTACAGTGTGGTATAACTGTGTTAGTCTGGTATAGCTGTGTTACAGTGTGGTATAGCTGTGTTACAGTCTGGTATAACTGTGTTACTGTGTGGTATAACTGTGTTAGTCTGGTATAGCTGTGTTTCAGTGTGGTATAACTGTGTTACAGTGTGGTATAGCTGTGTTACAGTGTGGTATAGCTGTGTTAGTGTGTGGTATAACTGTGTTACAGTGTGGTATAACTGTGTTAGTGTGGTATAACTGTGTTACAGTGTGGTATAACTGTGTTACAGTGTGGTATAACTGTGTTAGTGTGGTATAGCTGTGTTTCAGTGTGGTATAACTGTGTTACAGTGTGGTATAGCTGTGTTAGTGTGTGGTATAACTGTGTTACAGTGTGGTATAACTGTTAGTATGGTATAACTGTGTTACAGCGTGGTATAGCTGTGTTAGTGTGGTATAGTTGTGTTACAGTGTGGTATAACTGTGTTACAGTGTGGTATAACTGTGTTACAGTGTGGTATAGCTGTGTTACAGTGTGGTATAACTGTGTTACAGTGTGGTATAACTGTGTTACTGTGTGGTATAGCTGTGTTACAGTGTGGTATAACTGTAATAGTGTGGCATAGCTGTGTTACAGTGTGGTATAACTGTGTTACAGTGTGGTATAGCTGTGTTACAGTGTGGTATAACTGTTACAGTGTGGTATAGCTGTGTTTCAGTGTGGTATAACTGTGTTACAGTGTGGTATAGCTATAACATACTGTATATTGCCCTTTCATGGTATAACATACTGTATAGTGCCCTATCATGGTATAACATACTGTATATTGCCCTATCATGGTATAACATACTGTATATTGCCCTTTCATGGTATAACATACTGTATATTGCCCTTTCATGGTATAACATACTGTATATTGCCCTATCATGGTATATCACACACTGTATATTGCCCTATCATGGTATAACATACTGTATATTGCCCTTTCATGGTATAACATACTGTATATTGCCCTTTCATGGTATTGTCATGGCGACTGATTTACGACACCCATTGTCTGAAGAACATTTAATTGCAAAGGCTCATTACCCTGGAGCCATGACATCTTTATGCCTGGAAACATTTAATTGCTGTTATTTATAAGATGCTAATCCTAATTGTTAATCCCCATTTTTGTGTACATCGACCGTCTGCCATCCTGAACAGGATGTGCAAGTATGTCACTGATGATTTACTGTTTACATTTATATTTATTACTTACTAAATGTCAGGTGACCTTGGCTATATAAGCCTTGGTCCAGAATGATTGAGAGGAGAGGAGAGGAAAAGAAAGGTCTTACCCTTAGCCTAGCTAGGGTTAGGCTGGGTGCTTCCGGGGCACCTAGACAACAACCACTACCACTATGTGCTGACCTGACACATAGTGTCTTTTGTATGTATATATCTACATGTATAAAGTAAAACTGTATATACTGCAAGCCATCGTCTCCAAGTTGTCACTTCCTACTGAGAACCATACGTCGGCCCCTTGCATATACGAGTGTGCAAATCGTTCATTAATCAATGTCGGACCGACACGTGTTGTTACTTTGGTGGAGCTATCGGGTATGACAGACTTCTTAGTCTGTCCTTTCCTGTACCTCTTTGCAGCATGGCATATGGTTCACAAAACTGTAGGAAGTGACAGTCTCTTTTTAAAAGGATATACTACCTTCCTGGAGGCCAGTCACCAAGAACGAAGAAATGGCCTTTAACAAGATTGAAGAAAGAACGAGAACCTCTCCGATCAAGGACAAGTTCTCCGATCCCAAACCTTCCCTGCTCAAATATCTAAGCAACACTGCTAAGACTTCCCCTTCAAGATGTCGTTCCTGCACACTGTACAGGACCAAAGGAAAGAAGTATACACGCCTATCCCACAGAGATCCGACCACAGCCATCCATCATCATGCAGACCCTGCACAATACAGAAACCGCCTCACGGGCACCTACAAGATGGACACTGTGTACAAGATATCTCATGGGGACTTATTAATTTGTGTTTACTTACATGGACTCAATCAAGGATATATATTGTGTGACTGTTGAATATTGCAACCAGGTATGTTTAATCAAAGCCAGTATATTAATGCCAAAATGTGTCTTTCAAAAATTCAGTTTTATATATGTGCAATATACTCCAAATTACATCTTTAGTCAAGCTAGATCTTTGAAGTTATTGTGTAGGGAATCTTTGAAATGTCTCCAGGCCACGCCAGACATATAGTTACAGCTAGGGCCCAGACAAACCTAAGCTGTAGGGTTATCGAGTCACACCTTAAAGCTCGACTCGTAATTTCAAAAATCTAAACGACAAAATTTGTCATTTGTTACAAGTAATTAATGTGCACAGTTTGGTACAAAATTGAATGTATTGTCTAGGACTTTGAATTCAGATTAGGGATATTCATGGGTGAGCCACCCCCACACATATGTTTATTGTATGTCAGTATTAAGTAATTAACAGCACAGCAGTATTCAGCATTTCAGAGTTTTGATGTCGGAATTAAGGATTTTTTTTTCTTGGGCATCGCACCCACAATATCTGGGCAAGCTCCGTCAAAGACACGGGAAGAGCACCCATTGTACTTAAAAGGGCAATAGTACCCACAAGTACCGTTTGAGTCACGCGGTAAAGCTAGACTCCTGGTTTCAAATTTCTTTATGTGAAATATTTGCTGAGATGTTTAATTTGTACTTTTTATGACATTACTCATTATCATTATTCGGTACTGAGTCGCACTGCCAAACTAGACTCCTGAATTCAAAGAACCTTCAGTGATATATTTATTGAATCTGTGCAAAGCAGTAATTACCTTGTAGTGAAATTGCACATTACAAAGATCACTTGGTTAGTTTTCAAACTGGCACTAATTCAAATTGGCTAGATGATCACTTTCATACCGCCATTGCATAGATATATTTGTTGCATAAGGATTTCATGTCACTGATTTTGTTCACATTTGCATGGTCGTTTTCATTGGTGAAAAAACTCACACATATCAATTTGGACTCATATAAGCTTGGGGTCCAAGCTTCACGTAAAGGAGGGAAGTTGTCATGGCGACTGATTTACGACACCCATTGTCTGAAGAACATTTAATTGCAAAGGCTCATTACCCTGGAGCCATGACATCTATATGCCTTGAAACATTTAATTGCTGTTATTTATAAGATGCTAATCCTAATTGTTAATCCCCATTTTTGTGTACATCGACCGTCTGCCATCCTGAACAGGATGTGCAAGTATGTCACTGATGATTTACTGTTTACATTTATATTTATTACTTACTAAATGTCAGGTGACCTTGGCTATATAAGCCTTGGTCCAGAATGATTGAGAGGAGAGGAGAGGAAAAGAAAGGTCTTACCCTTAGCCTAGCTAGGGTTAGGCTGGGTGCTTCCGGGGCACCTAGACAACAACCACTACCACTATGTGCTGACCTGACACATAGTGTCTTTTGTATGTATATATCTACATGTATAAAGTAAAACTGTATATACCGCAAGCCATCGTCTCCAAGTTGTCACTTCCTACTGAGAACCATACGTCGGCCCCTTGCATATACGAGTGTGCAAATCGTTCATTAATCAACGTCGGACCGACACGCGTTGTTAGTATAACCTACCATATATTGCCCTATCATGGTATATCACACACTGAATATTGCCCTATCATGGTATAACCTACTGTATATTGCCCTTTCATGGTATAACCTACCATATATTGCCCTATCATGGTATATCACACACTGAATATTGCCCTATCATGGTATATCACACACTGTATATTGCCCTATCTTGGTATATCACACACTGTATATTGCCCTATCGTGGTATGTCACTATGCCTGTCAAGTGTGTAGGGTTGAGTTACGGACTACCATGAAAGGATTAGTTATCATTACTGACATTGCCCCATCGTGGTATGTCACTATGCCTGTCAAGTGTGTAGGTTTGAGTTACGGACTACCATGAAAGGATTAGTTATCATTACTGACTATCATCAACATTATCATTATCCATGTCTTCAGTTAACCTACAGCCAGCAGGGGTACTTGCCGTGGAGGCCATGTCAACGTCCCAGGTTTCATACAGCATGACGTTAGTATAATCCATCTTGTTTACCGCGGAGGGAATGCAGCCAGTGAAGCGTGGCCAGCTGTCACAACACCCTCACACACAGTTTACATGGCGTTCCGCTTGACTTCACACGTTGGCCGATCCCATCTACCGGCTGTCCCATATGTTAGCCACACATGACTGTTTGACACACATCTGACTGTTTGACACACATCTGACTGTTTGACACACATCTGACTTTTGACACACATCTGACTTTTGACACACATCTGACTTTTCAACACACATCTGACTGTTCGCAACACATATGACGTTTCGACTCACATCTGACTGTTCGACACACATCTGACAATGATACGTCCTCCTTGTGTGCAACCTACTAGCACTTGCTGTATATCTGTGTATCGACTGCCGGCAGCCCACACCATAAAGGAGAATTCAGGTTAATACAAGAGGCATTCAATAGTGCTGCCCTGTGAGAGAGTTGGTCGTCAATACATTATTCACGCATCGTACAGGGGAGCTGACGGACAGCCATGTGTTACAGTGTAGTATGTGTATGTATGTTACAGTGTGATATAACTGTGTTACAGTGTAGTATGTGTATGTATGTTACAGTGTGATATAACTGTGTTACAGTGTAGTATGTGTATGTATGTTACAGTGTGATATAACTGTGTTACAGTGTAGTATGTGTATGTATGTTACAGTGTGATATAACTGTGTTACAGTGTAGTATGTGTATGTATGTTACAGTGTGATATAACTGTGTTACAGTGTAGTATGTGTATGTATGTTACAGTGTGATATAACTGTTACAGTGTAGTATGTGTATGTATGTTACAGTGTGGTATAACTGTGTTACAGTGTAGTATGTGTATGTATGTTACAGTGTGATATAACTGTGTTACAGTGTAGTATGTGTATGTATGTTACAGTGTGATATAACTGTTACAGTGTAGTATGTGTATGTATGTTACAGTGTGATATAACTGTGTTACAGTGTAGTATGTGTATGTATGTTACAGTGTGATATAACTGTGTTACAGTGTAGTATGTGTATGTATGTTACAGTGTGATATAACTGTGTTACAGTGTAGTATGTGTATGTATGTTACAGTGTGATATAACTGTGTTACAGTGTAGTATGTGTATGTATGTTACAGTGTGATATAACTGTGTTACAGTGTAGTATGTGTATGTATGTTACAGTGTGATATAACTGTGTTACAGTGTAGCATGTGTATGTATGTTACAGTGTGATATAACTGTGTTACAGTGTAGTATGTGTATGTATGTTACAGTGTGATATAACTGTGTTACAGTGTAGTATGTGTATGTATGTTACAGTGTGATATAACTGTGTTACAGTGTAGTATGTGTATGTATGTTACAGTGTGATATAACTGTGTTACAGTGTAGTATGTGTATGTATGTTACAGTGTGATATAACTGTGTTACAGTGTAGTATGTGTATGTATGTTACAGTGTGATATAACTGTGTTACAGTGTAGTATGTGTATGTATGTTACAGTGTGATATAACTGTGTTACAGTGTAGTATGTGTATGTATGTTACAGTGTGATATAACTGTGTTACAGTGTAGTATGTGTATGTATGTTACAGTGTGATATAACTGTTACAGTGTAGTATGTGTATGTATGTTACAGTGTGATATAACTGTGTTACAGTGTAGTATGTGTATGTATGTTACAGTGTGGTATAACTGTGTTACAGTGTGGTATAACTGTGTTACGGTGTGGTATAACCGTGTTACGGTGTGGTATAACTGTGTTACGGTGTGGTTACAGTGTGGTATAACTGTGTTACGGTGTGGTATAACTGTGTTATGGTATGGTTACAGTGTGGTATAACTGTGTTACAGTGTGACATAGCCATGTTACAATGTGGTATAACTGTGTAACGGTGGGTGGTATAACTGTGTTACGGTGTGGTATAACTGTGTTACGGTATGGTTACAGTGTGGTATAACTGTGTTACAGTGTGACATAGCCATGTTACAATGTGGTATAACTGTGTAACAGTGGGTGGTATAACTGTGTTACGGTGTGGTATAACTGTGTTACGGTATGGTTACAGTGTGGTATAACTGTGTTACAGTGTGACATAGCCATGTTACAATGTGGTATAACTGTGTAACGGTGGGTGGTATAACTGTGTTACGGTGTGGTATAACTGTGTTACGTAGTGGTTACAGTGTGGTATAACTGTGTTACAGTGTGGTATAACTGTGTTACAGTGTGGTTACAGTGTGGTATAACTGTGTTACGGTGTGGTTACAGTGTGGTTACAGTGTGGTATAACTGTGTTACGGTGTGGTATAACTGTGTTACGGTGTGCTATAACTGTGTTACGGTGTGGTATAGCTGTGTTACAGTGTGGTATAGCTGTGTTAGTGTGTGGTATAACTGTGTTACAGTGTGGTATAACTGTTAGTATGGTATAACTGTGTTACAGCGTGGTATAGCTGTGTTAGTGTGGTATAGTTGTGTTACGGTGTGGTTACAGTGTGGTTACAGTGTGGTATAACTGTGTTACGGTGTGGTATAACTGTGTTACGGTGTGCTATAACTGTGTTACGGTGTGGTATAACTGTGTTACAGTGTGGTATAACTGTGTTACGGTGTGGTTACAGTGTGGTATAACTGTGTTACGGTGTGGTATAACTGTGTTACAGTGTGGTATAACTGTGTTACAGTGTGGTATAACTGTGTTACGGTGTGGTTACAGTGTGGTATAACTGTGTTACAGCGTGGTTACAGTGTGGTATAACTGTGTTACAGTGTGGTTACAGTGTGGTATAACTGTGTTACAGTGTGGTATAACTGTGTAGCAGTGTTTTCCTCTCATTACACACAGGAGTCAAATGAGATCTATGTCGGCACTGATCACATGACCGCCGGAGACAGACACCCAAGTCTGATGACACCCTCATGTAAACGTGATTCTGAACACAGCAAGCAGGGAGATCAATACATGTCTGCATCTGTACCTCCAAATATCCACACCCTGATTAAGGGATGTGGTCAGAGGATAAGGGGGTCATAGGGAGGTGAAGGTCGGAGAGTTGTGTGCACCAGCTGCAGCGGCACTGATCAATACTCCACCAGGTTGTCGTCTCCCTCCCGTGTGGCTATCTCAACCACAGAGAAGTCTTCCTGCAGGGAACTACAGGGGTGGGGCCAGACTGGTGGGTGTGTTGGGGGTGGGGGGGGGGGGGGCAAGATTGGGGTGGGGCAAGACAGGGGTTGGGCGAGAGTGGTGGGTGTGATGGGGGTGGGGCAAGATTGGGGTTGGGCAAGATTGGGGTTGGGCAAGATTGGGGTGGGGCAAGATTGAGGTGGGGCGAGACTGGTGTGTGTGTTGGGGAGGGGGGGCAAGATTGAGTAGGGTTCGAGACTGGTGTGCGTGGTGGGTGGGGCAAGATTGGGGAGGGTCTGCCTCACAACTGGTTAGAATAGCTTCTTCTTCATCTGGACCTCACACAGCTCCATATTTGTGTAAAAAGAAAGCAGTAAATGCATTAAATAATAATGCACGGTAAGTTAGAATGTGTCTGTACAGTATTTGTCATATTGACTGGTCTGAGGAAGCAGAACAAGTGTTATCTATGATTACACAATACCATTCAGAAAGTGGTCAAATGTTACAAATGTTAAGTTTGAGAAAAACACTTTATCCGTCAAGTACAGATTCTAGCTCTGTTTTTGGGTCTGAGTCCCATTCGGCAAAGTACAAGAATCTGGGTTGAGTCTGTAGTGGATAACTGTCATTTATCTCCAGACTGACAATCGGCAGTGGATAACTGTCATTTATCTCCAGACAGACAATCGGTAGTGGATAACTGTCATTTATCTCCAGACAGACAATCGGTAGTGGATAACTGTCATTTATCTCCAGACAGACAATCTGTAGTGGATAACTGTCATTATCTCCAGACAGACCATCTGTAGTGGATAACTGTCATTTATCTCCAGACAGACAATCGGCAGTGGATAACTGTCATTTATCTCCAGACAGACAATTGGGAGTGGATAACTGTCATTTATCTCCAGACAGACAATCTGTAGTGGATAACTGTCATTTATCTCCAGACAGACAATCTGTGGTGGATAACTGTCATTTATCTCCAGACAGACAATCTGTAGTGGATAACTGTCATTTAACTCCAGACAGACAATCTGTAGTGGATAACTGTCATTTATCTCCAGAAAGACAATCTGTAGTGGATAACTGTCATTTATCTCCAGACAGACAATCTATAATTGATAACTGTCATTTATGTCCAGACACAATCGGTAGTGGATAACTGTCAATTATCTCCAGACAGACAATCTGTAGTGGATAACTGTCATTTACCTCCAGAACAGACAATCTGTAGTGGATAACTGTCATTTATCTCCAGACAGACAATCGGGAGTGGATAACTGTCCTTGATCTCCAGACAGACAATCTGTAGTGGATAACTGTCATTTATTTCCAGACGGACAATCTGTAGTGGATAACTGTCATTTATCTCCAGACAGACAATCACTTTAACAGAAAGCAAATGTTGCAGCTGTTTCCAATATCAAGTCACAAGTCATCATGATTTCATAATACATGGTTGCCTAGCAACAGGAGAAGAGAGAAACAGTAACTCCTAGAGTCAGGAAGGATTTGTCAACAATAAAGTAAGTTAATGGACTTCCAAATGTCAAGCGATATTTGAGAAAGTCAAATCGATTTATGTCATGCTAGAGTTCTAAATGTCGGGATCACAAAATTAACAGAACTTGATCTGGACCGACAACACTGCAGACAGATCTCAGTTACACTGATGAGAACCCATAGACTGGCAACACTGATGAGAACCCATAGACTGGCAACACTGATGAGAACCCATAGACTGACAAGACTGATGAGAACCCATAGACTGGCAACACTGATGAGAACCCATAGACTGGCAACACTGATGAGAACCCATAGACTGGCAACACTGATGAGAACCCATAGACTGACAACACTGATGAGAACCCATAGACTGACAACACTGATGAGAACCTATAGACAGACAACACTGATGAGAACCCATAGACTGGCAACACTGATGAGAACCCATAGACTGACAACACTGATGAGAACCTATAGACTGACAACACTGATGAGAACCCATAGACAGACAACACTGATGAGAACCCATAGCCTGACAACACTGATGAGAACCCATAGACAGACAACACTGATGAGAACCCATAGACTGGCAACACTGATGAGAACCCATAGACTGGCAACACTGATGAGAACCCATAGACTGGCAACACTGATGAGAACCCATAGACAGACAACACTGATGAGAACCCATAGACTGACAACACTGATGAGAACCCATAGACAGACAACACTGATGAGAACCTA